CTTGGGCAACATTTCATCTTCGGATAATTCTCTTGGTCTAGTTCAATACTCTGCTATCCCATCAAATATTTCAGGCTTGTCACGTCACTCGTGATCCCAGAGGAGCCATTTTCGGTGACCCAAGTAGCATACCTTTTCAGTGTGCCAAAAGGATGATGAGCCTCGCCACATGTTGGGCATTGTCATATACCCTTTAGGGCTCCAGCCTGACAATGTCCCATAAGTAGGGAAATCATAAATTGTCCACATTACTACAACTCTCAAAGTGCACATTCTTCTCGTCAACCTGTCATATGTTCGTATACCATTTGTCCATAATTCTATTAACTCATCAATCAACAACCGTAAATAAGCATCAATGGAGTCGCCTGGAGATCTTAGCTTGGGTATTAAAAGACTCATTAACATAAATTCTTTCTTCATGCACCTCCAGGGGCACATTATAAGGAACGACGACCACCAGCTAAGTGCTGTACTCACTGGAAAAATTCTCATACAAATTGAAACCATTAGAAGCAAGTACTGATCTTACATTTCTTGGTTGTGCAACATAATCGGGGTAGATTTTTTCAAATTCTTTCCACGCTTCACCGTCATCCGGGTACCCCAACACATCATCATTAACCCGTGCCTCCTTATGCCACCTCATATCACGTGCAATATGGGTCACATGTACAATTTCTGTAATCTTGGTGCAAAGAAAAGTAAAACAACTCCTTATTTGGAATCTTGTTCTTTCGATATCAAGGCTTATTGCACTTACGTCATTTATCTAACTTCTTGAATTGACGGTAGAAAAATATACAATTGTTCGTGCACGTATGGATCTTGTCATATCCCAAACCGAGATCTTTCAAGATCTTTTTCGACCTAGAATGATTTAAAGGCAATGCATTTTTTTTGAAGCATACGTTTAAAAATTTCTATCATCATATCGTAGTTCCGATTGGTCATATTACATTGTTTTGTGCATCAACTCTACAACGACTGTTAGAATGGAAAAATCTTCACAACTAGGGTACAATTCTCGCTCAGTTTCCATCAACAATTTATCATACTTCTTGGGGTCCATGAATGGCTTCTCTTCCATATTAAGTGAAGCATTGGGAAAAGCATCATTCAATATGTCCATCACTTGGTCATCATCAACACGACCAAATGTAGAAGGTTCATGCGAAACTGTCCCACTATCAGAAGACGTTGACATTGTAATTTTTGATTCCCCATGATAAGTCCAATTGTAGTAAGTTTGTACCATCCTATTCGAATACAAGTGATATCGGGCTACGTCCAGTGTCATCTACACACAATTATTACATTTCACACACGGACACCTAATATGGTTCTGAGCATTGACATGATTCTTTGCAAAATTAATAAAATTGTTGATCCCATCCATATATCAGACAGAACCTTGATTTTGTAGTTTGATCCACTTCTTGTCCATTACTCTTGTATTAAGAGGTTTTAGTGAACAAAATGATTTAAAATACGCTTCATCACCCCCTTATGCTTCTGGTGATGATCCTATTGCATTTGATAGTGTACTTTTTGTGTTGTGGCTTACAAATCACCCAACTATTTTTGGTCGTAAACAATTCGGCAACATCTCCCCAAGGTTCCCTAAGTGTACAATGTAGATATTATAGACAAATATCCACTATGCACTCAAAGAACAATAGGAGGATAGAACAAAATTTTCCACAAATGAAACTTAGCCAAATTCATCGCAAACCCTAAACACATACTAGTGCACTCCCAAAGAGTCTGAACTGGACAATTCAAGATTAAGTTAGATCACATGGCCACATACTGCATCTACATGCGTGTCCAACATGGTCTCAAATGAGTCTAAGGTATAATTCTTATCCTAATTTTATTGTACTGTACTTATGCTCTGACATCACGCGTGAATTAGGTTCAATCCCGATAACATGTGCACTCTTGCATTTAGTCACTTATAGGTTTAAATTTATTCATATTTTCCACCTCATTACACTTAAGACTTCGTCACCTTCCGGGTGTCGGCCTGCACAGCTCGATTTGGAGTCCATGTGAACATTCCGGGTTGGGATGTGTCACTGTGTGTAACAGAGAGAGAAGTAGGGATAAACAATAGGGGATGTGGAGGGAGAACTGTAAGAAGCAGAGAAACAAAAAAGGAGATGAGGGGAAAAATGGGGGAGATGGCAGCAAGCACTGAGCTAAAATGTGACATATTGATTACATGACAGAAGCATTCTTCGCAATAACTTAAAAACCTCGTCGCCTAACTTTGTTTTCCCTTCTTTTTTCACACATCAGCATTGTATTTTTCTAGATGACCTGATGCTTCTGTCCGACGAAACAATCCGTCGGGAAATTACTATTTACTCAATGAATGACCCATTTGCTCCGTGAAAATTATTCAATTGCACGCCAATTTTTTGCCTTGGCGCCAATTTTTTCCCGACTCTTGGTTACTAACCTTAAGAAACATTGCCATCTCATAAAGATTTTGAGTAAACAAAAAATGTTAACTAGATTAACCCTACGAACAAACGATTTCGTCGGGTAAATAAGATTTCGGTGCCAGATTTTTTTCCATCTGGCAACATTTCCATCATGTCTGATTTCCACTCTATTTGTTTGATTAATTTGATTGCTTGGTTAAACTTGTTTGTGATGTGATTACTTAAGACTCTACAATGTATTATATAGTTTATATATATATATATTATAATTGTTTATTATATATATATATATATATATATCAGGTCTCGTGAGGTGAGCCTCAAGGCTTTTGCCTAGGTGGGCTATTCGTGAAACGGCTTGCCCATGCCTTTGCCTTTTAAAACATTTATGTTGTTTGATAATGAACAAAGTCTTAATATAAGTTCATGTCAATCTAATATTTATTCACCTTGATGAGTCGATTTTGTATTATATATTTTTCCTACTCTTGGTATGTTTTGGTTATTATTTTGGTGAAATTTTGATGTATTTTCAATGTAAGACATGCAACTCTATTTTGGGCATAAAGTAGTCAAACGGTGAAAATTTTGAGTGATTTCTATTGGAGTGAGTTCGTGAGTCTGTCAAGAAGGTTGTATCAAAATTTCATAATTTTATCCAAAAGCATCTGATCGTGGCGAATTAATTTACGCCCGGCGCACAGTATTGGTAGATTGGGTTGTTGAGTTTATTTGTGATTTTTGGGCTTGAAGATGATGGATTTTGGAATTGGGCTCTTCTTAAAACTTGAAGAAGAGGGCCTAATATTTTATTCAAGTCATTTTGGGTCTGTTTTGGGGTCCTAAAGGTCTAGAAACCTGGCTAATTCTCGGCTGGGCAGATTTTCCATGTTTGGTTAAGATTATGATTCCTAGTTTCTCGTAACTTATCACATTTCCTAGTTTTTAGAAAAGCTTTTCTAGTAAGGATTTTATTTTGTAGTAATATAAATAAGGCTATTTAGCCATTAGGGTTTGCCACGCATTATTTTGGAGAATTTGGCTTAGAGAGCCTTTGACGATTCAAGTTTATTTACAAGGTGTTTTTTATCCATGTTTTTAATAATATTTTTCTCTATGATTATAAGTAACTAGTCCTTTTGCTAGGGCGAGGTCACAAGCCTTAGCATGAATATGTGATTTTATTAATTTGCTTATGAAGGGATGCATGCTTGTTTTGAATTATTGGTCACCGTGTTTAAACTATCTAATTGTCTTAATGATTCGTGATCATTAGGGTATTTAGACAAGTAATATGATGCCTAGAATTGAGAAAGTTTCATGAAGTTCATTATTGCATAAAAGGAGTCAAAGTAGTGGCTGCGGCGCATCGAGGCACTTCTTTGACAGTCCCCGTCCACCCCGCATGCCATCTCGATCTGAAGAATTCATGGTCCAACAGGCGGACAAGACAGAATGGGCGGGCACTACTAACCAAGCCTAGTTCTTCCCGATAGGCACTGGTAGCTTGCTTCTAAGCCTTGCCTTATATAAAAAATTTCTGTTGGAATATCACCCTAAAATTGAGTAGGGTTTCTTGTGATTAGTAATTGCAAGTTTACTTAAAATGAACATCACGCTCTTAAGGGTTGCATAGTTTTTCAAAGGGTTTTCACAAAGCTTAATGAGTCTTGCATGTTTATATTTGATCTGGATATCACAAATAAATTGCATGTTAGATATATGTTTTTGCTTGAACATCACGAGGAAACTATACATTAGGAAAACCTAACCTTCAAAGCATGTATGTGGATATTCATAAGTAATTGGTAAAATTGCATAGGATTGTTAATTGTGATGGCGGAACCTTAGTGTTTAAATTGATTTTCAAAACCGTTTTCTTTTAATTTATTTTTCTTATTGACCTTTTTAAATTGTTTTTAAATACAAATTATTCATTCAATCGTTGTGGAGAACAACCTTGCTTAAGTCGTTCATACTACAACTACCTTGTTCTCTTACAAGTATTTTTAAGTATTTTTATTCCTACTTTTGTAGGTGGTAAAAATCCTATCACACCTCATGTTATATTACAAAGATAGCAATTCAGCCAAAAAAAGAAAAGAAAAGACAGATAAATGTGTAGAAAATAGGATGAAAAATGTAGATATTGTCTAGCTTAATTTGCCAGCACAGACTACAGAAAATCCCTTTGTCCCCTTGGAATTTCATAACATGGCATTGCACTGTGTTTGCACAGGCAACCATGAAAAAAGACGGAATCAACAACGGCACCAAAATAGAAAAGCCGTCTCAATCATACATGCATTTTTTTCGTGGTTATCTCGGAAGCCACCGCGGATGAACTTATTGATGATTCGTTGTTGACCCTCTGAAATTTCGAGTATTTGAGTTCATAATTTATGAAGCTGCAAAAAAAAAAAAAAAGGCAGATATTAAGGTGGTGTTCATAATTTAGGAAGATAATACACAGTAAACTTGCATGCTCAAAAAGGTCTTCTCTTACCTGGTAATAACTAGTAAGAATGGCAGTAATGTAGAGGCACCTCAAATTTCTAGCACTATATCTGCAATGGAAAAACAGGCAACCATCAGATCCAGATTTTGTGCAGTTTGGTTCCTTTAATTATTTTTTCCCCCAAAAGTGTGAGCATATTATAAATCAAGCCATTGAAAAAATTGAAAAGCGAACTTACATTCAGAATCTGTCTTGACCCATTTACATCCATCATTAATCTTCTCTTTTGTATCATCTTCATTGTGATTTTCCCTTATTGTTGGATTCTGTCTGTCCTCGAGGTATTTCTTCATTGATGATGCTCGAGGAGTGCCGTGCGGATTGATGATCTTCTTGTTAAGCATTACCCTAAGAAGCTGTAAGCCAAATTGTGTAATGGGTATGATCAATCAAGATGTTAATGGAACTAAGTAAACTAGTTAATAACATAATTTACTATGCATGTTATGATTAATTTTTTTTTATTATTCTGAATTGCAAAGAGAGGGATTCGAACTTGGGTGTATTTACATATATGTTTATGTAAGTTTGCACATACCTTCTCCATCCTTGACTCTTGAAGTGTGTCTCTCAAACTTGGTGCTGGTGCAAACCCACTTCTACAAACAAACATCTTCTTAAGAAGAAAAGAAATTGATTTCTTCCCAATTGCCTTCTTATTGTCTGCACATATGTCTTTGCATCTACCAAGTATGACACTAATAGTTTTCTCAATATCTTCATCCTTGTGATCATCTGATGAATCGGAGCAAAGCACATTGCTGGTTCTGCGATCAACCTCCAAGCTTGATGGGCAATTTAGAAATCTGTCCAACGGAAGATCTGCGATTTTCTTTTCGATGTCTGGTTTTCGCGTTAAGAGTTTTGTCAACTCTTTATGCAATTTACCAACTTCCTCTGGCGTGAAATTATCTAGGATTTCTTCGGATGAAGACGGATCTTCCTGAATATCTGGGCTTTGAGCAGCATTATTTTCTTTCAATTCATTGTTTCCAAAAGTTCCAATCGCTAGTAATCCATGAGGCCAGTCACTAAATTCTTCACGTGGCTCTTGTTTTGCATGATCTACACAATGCATACATAATTAAATAACAAAATCCCAAAATGATATTTAGAAGTAAAGAAATTAAGGGACATATTGAAAATAGTGCAGCTTTATTTATTTCATTTTATTTTGTAAAGACGATAGATCTATTTTAATATATAACTAATGAAGCCTGATCTTACATCTATATTTTTTATAAATCTAGCACATGTCAGCTTTATTAACACGATCTTAGTTGATTTTAATTTTTTTTATTTATTTATTTATTTTTTTTGGGTTTTTGATGTGGAGGAGGGCAGAGTAAAAAACTAATTTTTTATTTTTATTGTAATTTGATTTATTGAAGTAAAATGTCAGTACCCCAATGATACATGTTAATTTAGTAACATAAGTTCTTTATAGAATCCCCAACTCATGTAACATGCATGAGCGACTCTTCATAGTGCAGCTCTTTAACAAAGATTATTTTTGGACTGAAATAGATAAAGATACTATAAGATGCATAGCTTCTTGAAGAAAAAAAATCCTACTTATATAGGAAGCAAATCATATCATTTAGATTAAAACGAAAACTGTGGCATTTAAAACTTAAAAGTAACAAACGTAAAGAATTTGTTGGTTAGAAGAAGAATGCTTACGGGTTGTAGTAGAAACTATATTTGGTTTCTTGTTTCCTTGCTTCCCATTGATCTTATTTTGCATCCAACTAAAAAGCTGCAATAAAAAAACCAAAAACCACCAACATTAGAGAACCTCACTTTTCAGCCTTCCCGAGCATGTTTCAGCTCAAAGAACAAAAGACCAACCTCTCTTTCTCTCTCTCTCTCTCTCTCTCTCTCTCTCTCTCTCTCACACAAACATAAACAGTACACATGAAAGTATGTAACATAAACAAAGATTCACCTTCATTTTCTAAGATACAAGTGTGTGGTTGGACTCCTCTGATAGAAAGGGGGTGGAGGAGATGGTTGGAGGAGGAGGAGAGTTGGAGAAGTTAACTTGTTTGCAGAAGCGAGGTGTTGAAGGGTAGATCTTAAAAGCCAATAAGAATTGAGCTTTGGGATTATAAAACTAAACAACTTCGGATTTGTTGAATTTCACGGCCACGCTGATCAAATAAGAATAGATGAGAAGGTTGTTTAACTAATCTATTGGTTCAAGTTCCTAAAACACAAGGGTGGCTTTATATCTCTGTATCTAGCCTATCTTTTCCCACCTTTTTCTCTCTTATATAAACTCACACTCCCATAACCCACTAACGCGCACACACACATATATTTATAAATATATATACTGTAAAACATTCTGTTTAGTTCTTTACTCATTTTTTGTCCAAAAAAAAAAAAAGTTCTTTACTCATCTAATTTAATCCGTACACATACTTAATGACACATGGGTCAATCTGATTTTGCGGATCCATTATTCTGGAACATCTGCTCGACATGAAAGCCTTTTTAGCCTCTCATTTAAACGTTGAAACCAATCTCTCTACAATTCTTGTAGTGTGTCATATAAGAAAAATTACGTTAGAGTTACCTGATTACTTAGTTAAGTAACTTTGAAAAAGGTAGGATTCATGTATTGAGAGTCATCTAAATACAGAGCCAAATTGTACTGAATTCAGAAGAAATTCTCGTGTCATCCACTCACAAAAGAGTGGAACTCTTGCATTAGAATAACCTACAAGCGAGCTGTATCTAAATACAGATAAGTCAATTTCTTTATGAGGAGGTTACACAATCTATCTAGTCCGACTGTCAAATATTAATTTTTTTTTTCAAATACATGGGTCGTTGCTAAACAAGTTTTCATTTTATCTACTTGTGTACTAATGGAACCCTTTTTAATACTACATGGTTTTCACCACCTATTCCACAAGCTTCTTCTTCTAACCTAAATACATGCACATTAGTCGTACTTTGAATTAAAAATTTCTACAATTTCGCATTTTGCCAATCCATTTGCATCGGATTGCAGCATATATATGTGTAGTCTATTGTTTTGGTGACCAACTACTTAGTCCAAATTTTGTAAACCATATACATGGTTGTTGATGTTCGATATTACTTAAATGTTGATTAACGTGTTTATTTCTTATTGGTGACACATCACATAATTTGAAAATTAGTATAAATAGTTGGTCTACCGTTTACTCTTGTTTCCAGCAGTGCTTTTGCTGTTTATGCTTGCATTTTCTCACAGATGACAAATGGGGTAAATTCCCTCCAAAAAAAAAAACATGTTATTATGATAATGCAGTTTTAAGTCCAGTCTATAAACATAACAAATTACAATGCTAGCTTTTGTCACTCAAATTCTTCCTTCGTCTAACAGTGCTTTTTTTCTCGGCTATAACATAATTCAGTTTTGAGTCCTATATATAACAAATTTTAGGATCCCAGCAGATAACAGTTGGAGCCTACCATATGGATGAGGATAAATTGAAAAACTAATGGCAGATCAAGACAAACAGTTTAGACTTATAAGTAGTAACTTGAAGGGATGGGCAGCATGCAGGATTAGCAGTATATATTATGTTAGATTAGAATAAAGGACGGGTATGGGGTCATAAATAATAGGCCATCAAGGATCTCAAATTAGCGTGGGAATGTCCCTCACTGACCGGACTGCCGCCTCATTATCTTACCTGCCTCAAATATTGTAGGGCACAGAAAACTCTCTTATAATTCCATGCATGGATCCTTTTGTCTAAATGGAGGATTCCATGGACCCCTTTGGGCAATTAATGGTTGTTTTTAACTTAATTTTCGTTTTAGGAAAAAAAATGTAAGACAACCATTAGACTCCAAAAACTTAAGTTATCCCAAAATAAGCGAGATAGAGACATGCAACGAAGGATGCATGTGGAGAGGCACAAAAATGCAACGGAATTGGTGCAAAACCATTATGAACGTGCACGCGGATAGACAGATGCTTCAATTATGCAAGCCTTTTTTCCAACAGTTGCACAATTTCTAAATTTTTGTTGATTTTTCTACTATTTCGGCTGTTTGGATAGCTTGAAATAGGGTTTTTTTTTATTTTTTATTTTTTATTTTTTTGTTTGTTTGTTTGTTTGTTTGTTTGTTTGGGTTGGGGGGGGGGGGATCCCAATCTATTTTCATTGTCCTTGCACGTCTATCAATTATGAGATTATTCATGATGGAAAGTTTATTCCTGGTTATCCTCAAGAGTTTGACACTCGTATCATTTCTTCTTTGGGGATCTAGCCTATCCCTCACAAGGCGCCAACTATTTTTCCTATATTTTGGTCTTCTTCTTGGTTTCCCTAGATTAAACTTAATATAGATAGTTTGTCCAAAGGAAATTATGGTCCTGTTGCTTGTGGAAGAGTTTTTAGGGCTTGCCATGGTCACTTTCTTGGTGCTTTCTGCCAAGGGATTGACCATCACAACTCTCTCTGTACAGAATTATTAATAATTATTATTGATGTAAAGTTTGCATATCAGTGGGCTTGAGACTATCTTTGGTTGGAAAGTGACCCATTATTTCTACTATCCAATCGACTGATTTTGATCATTCTTAGCCTCTTCGTACACAATGGTCTATTTGTTTGGACCGTATTCAGAAAATAACTTTCTACGCCTCTCACATATATCGCGAAGGAAATGTTGTTGCGAACAATTTTGCTAACATGACCTTGTCTTCTCCAACTTTGATATGACATGATTCTCCTTCGTTGGCAACTCGTGTTGCTTTGTTTTCAGACTATACTAGCATTCCTGGCTTCCACTTCTCAAATTAATGTGCATATTGACATATAGATTTGTTTCACTTTCTTTTTGTTTTCCTTAACCTTGTGATGTTGCATAACCTGGTTTGCAGGTTTAGACTTTTAAGTTTGGCTAGGGGTTAGATTTCATGTTCCCCCCCTCCCCCCTTCTCTTTTCCTTGTATCTTTATTGTTTTCGTTTCCTGAAGGGTAAGGTTTATGTCCCCCTTTTTTTCATGCATTTTTAATATTTTTTCTTGTATTATAAGTGGTTAGGTTTATGTTCCCCTATTAACTAGGTGTAATTTTTTTTTTCATTATAAATAAAATCTCCCATGTACTGTCGAGGTTTCCCAAAAAAAAGAAAAAAAAAGATGATGTTTCAGCTAAGTAACTCAATCAATCATTGTCGAAAATAATTGAAAAATGTCAAAATATGCGCATAATTCATATTTATTTTTTACACCATATTACACAATCATTAAATCCAAAAGTTTAAAATATTAAAGAATGAGCCAAATATATGTTAGCTACCAATGATTTATGTGTAATGTTAGGTAAACTAACTGAATGAATAAAGGAATAGGTCCTACACCGAGAGGACTTGAAGGTGCCGATGCAACAGTGCCTTGATCCTGGGATTGTATGCCTCGATTCTAAGTCCTGAGGGGGCGCAAAATAAAACATGAGTGGACTAAGTTGATATATAAATAGTACTAAAACAGTTATTCAACGTACTAACCCCCAAAATTTATGAAAATTCATAGCATAATAAGTAGTAGGTTTTCTGAAAACCCTAGCATGCCATAAAACCTTTCAAAAACATATATCATATATAGTGTGCTAAGTAGTGGTATCATAGTCCCCCGTAGTACTAACATCTCCTGGCCCGAAGCCAATATACAAGTATCTTTACCCATAGGCAGAACAGTGACCACTAGATAGGCACAAAAACATTGAATATACTCTTTCCAAACATAGGTACATATATCTCAAAACATCTCCATAGTATATAGTCGTCCATCATATATACTAAAAAGAGTTTAAAAACATGTTCATAAATTGGCATATAGTCATCCATCATATATACTACAAGAACTTAAATTCGATAAAGTATGGTATTCCAAAATATTCTAAGTAAAGCACGATAATCATAAAGTGTAAATCTAATTTACTCATAAAACATAACCATTAAATCATGTTTTTCATGTATGCATTTCTACTATTAAAACATGCATTTTAGAAGGGGTCCACTCACAGATATTCTGTCGTCGAAGGGCCGTGCAAAAAAGAAATGACAGAATCGCCGCTAATAAATGCACCATAATTAGGTCCAGTCGTGGCCGGGAAGTGACCGGTAATGCCATGGTTTCCTCATTGGAATTTGGGTAAATGATCCGAGTTCATTTTTCGTGTCGAAGGAAGTAGGAACTTGTTGAAGAATCCTTTGAACAATGGCAACACCACTGTGCAGGGAAGAAGAGAAAGACCCATCCTTGGTGGTGGGTCGTGGCGTTGCTGTCGTTGATGTGGTGTGGAGGTGTGGGTGTGTGGGTGTGTGGGTTGGTTCTTAGGGGAGATAGGGTTGAGGGAGAAAGGTTTGTTTGAGAGAAAGAGTGAACTAAGAGGGAGAATGAGCTCAGGGAAGAGAAGAGAGGGGACGAGCTGCCATGTGGCAGCCAAGGAAGAGAGGGGAACTGGGGGACCAAAACAGGGGTGGGCCCTACCTTGGGCACACCATTTAAGAACCAAAAGAAACCCTTTTTAAAAAAAAAATTTCTTTAAAACCAAAGTGAAAATACAAAACTAACCTTCTGTTCCATAAAACCTGTAAAATTAATTGGGACAGGTTGTTACAATCTACCCCTATTAAATAAAATTTCGTCCCAAAATTTGAAATAACTTGCTACACTGAAATACTCGAAAAATAGCAAGAAGAAAAATATGTCTGTAAAGAATAATCAAGTAAGAGCGGTTGCATAAAAGGGAAAAATGCCACACCATTACGATCGGGTTGCAATGATTCCATCTTTTGTGCCTCCAGGCTCACACCTTCTTCCCTCATCAGTGTAAACGTAGAAACACGCTTTATAAGGATATAAAGTGGAAAACATATAATAACTTAAGGTCGAAAGTATGTACGTAATATGCGATAACGTCAAAATATATATGTAAT